TTAGGTGCGAGAAAAGTGCCGTTTCGGACTTAGTTTCCAAACCGAGAGTCCCGTGCTAGTTTCGTAAGTTTTCACAACTTACATCGGTCCCTCCCGGGGTGTTTGACGTGTTCCCCGGGCCTTCTCGTGACTGTTACACGATTTTGGCCCCCGACGGCTTATTTTCGAGCTTAAGTGTGAAAAAAGTGCATTTTTTGATTTAGTTCTCAAGCTGAGAGTCCCGTGCTAATTTCGTAAGTCTCCGAAACTTACCTCTTGGACCCTCCTGAAGTGTTTAGGGCATTTTCCGGTCCTTCTCGCGACTGTATCACGGTTTTGGCCCACCCCCGGTGTCCTATTTCCAAGCCTAAGCGTGGAAAAAGTGTCTCTTTCCCGCTTAGTTTTCAAAGCGAGAGTCCCCGTGCTAGTTCCGTAAGCTTTCACAACTCGCGTCTCACTCCCGAGGTGTTTGAGGTGTTCCCGGCCCTTGTTGCGATTGTTACATGATTTTGGCCCCCCGATGGCCTATCTCCAAGCTTAAGTGTTCGAAAAGTGTGTTTTTCGACCTAGTTTTCAAATCGGGAGTCCCCGTGCCTATTCCTTAAGTTTTCACAGCTCAAATTGGTCCCTCCTGAGATGTTCGGGGTGTTTCCTTGGCCTTCCCGTGATTGTTACACGATTTCGGCCCGCCGAGGCCTGTTTTCAAGCTTTAGTGTGAAAAAAGTACCTTTTCCGACCTAGTTTTCAAACTGGAAGTCCCGCGATAGTTCCCACAACTTACATTGGTTTCTCCCGAGGTGTTGGAGGTGTTGCACGGGCCTTCTCGGGACTGTTATAGGATTTTTTTGGTCCCCGATGGTCTATTTTCAAACTTAAGTGTTTAGAAGTGCATTTTTTGACTTAGTTTCCAAACCGGGAGTCCCATACGAGTTCCGTAAGTTTCCACAACTCACGTTGGTCCCTCCCTAGGTGTTTTGAGGTGTTCCCCGGACCTTCTCTTGGCTGTCACCCGATTTTGGCCCTCCCGACGGACTATTTTCAAGCTTAGGTGCGAGAAAAGTGTCGTTTCGGACTTAGTTTCCATACCGAGAGACTCGTTCTAGTTCCGTAAGTTTTCACAACTTACATCGGTCCCTCCTGGGGTGTTTGACGTGTTCCCCGGGCCTTCTCGTGATTGCTACACGATTTTGGCCCCCGACGGCTTATTTTCGAACTTAAGTGTGAAAAAAGTGCATTTTTTGATTTAGTTCTCAAGCCGAGAGTCCCGTGCTAGTTCCGTAAGTCTCCGCAACTTACCTCTTGGACCCTCCTGAGGTGTTTGGGGCATTTTCCTGTCCTTCTCGCGACTGTGACACGGTTTTAGCCCCCTGCCCGGTGTCCTATTTCCAAGCCTAAGCGTGGAAAAAGTGTCTCTTTCCAACTTAGTTTTCAAACCCGGAGTCCCCGTGTTAGTTCCGTAAGCTTTCACAACTCGCGTCTGTCACTCGCGAGGTGTTTGAGGTGTTCCCGGCCCTTGTTACGACCGTTACATGATTTTGGCCCCCCGATGGCCTACTTCCAAACTTAAGTGTTTGAAAAGTGTGTTTTCCGACCTAGTTTTCAAATCGAGAGTCCTCGTGCCTGTTCGTTATGTTTTCACGGCTCAAATTGGTCCCTCCTGAGATGTTCGGGGTGTTCCCCGAGCCTTCTCGTGATTGTTACACGATTCCGGCCACCCGAGGCCTGTTTTCAAGCTTCAGTGTGAAAAAAGTTCCTTTTCCGACCTAGTTTTCAAACCGGAAGTCCCGCGCCAGTTTCCACAACTTACATTGGTTTCTCCCGAGGTGTTGGAGGTGTTCCATGGGTCTTCTCGGGACTGTTACAGGATTTTTTTGTCCCCCGATGGCCTATTTTCAAACTTAAGTGTTTAGGAAATGCATTTTTTGACTTAGTTTCCAAACTGTTAGTCCCATGCGAGTTTCGTAAGTTTTCACAACTCACGTTGGTCCCTCCGTAGGTGTTTTGAGGTGTTCCCCGGACCTTCTCTTGGCTGTCACCTGATTTTGGCCCCCCCGATGGACTATTTTCAAGCTTAGGTGCGAGAAAAGTGTCGTTTCGGACTTAGTTTCCAAACCGGGAGACCCGTGCTAGTTCCGTAAGTTTTCACAACTTACATCAGTCCCTCCCGGGGTGTTTGACGTGTTCCCCGGGCCTTCTCGTGACTGTTACACGATTTTGGCCGCCGACGGCTTATTTTCGAGCTTAAGTGTGAAAAAAGTGCATTTTTTGATTTAGTTCTCAAGCCGAGAGTCCTGTGCTAGTTCTGTGAGTCTCCGCAACTTACCTCTTGGACCCTCCCGAGGTGTCTGGGGCATTTTTCGGTCCTTCTCGCGACTATGACACAGTTTTGGCCCCCCCCGGTGTCCTATTTCCAAGCCTAAGCGTGGAAAAAGTGTCTCTTTCCAACTTAATTTTCAAACCGGGAGTACCCGTGCTATCTGTAAGCTTTTACAACCCGCGTCTGTCACTCCTAAGGTTTTTGAGGTGTTCCCGGCCCTTGTTGTGACTGTTACATAATTTTGGCCCCCCGATGGCCTACTTCCAAACTTAATTGTTAGAAAAGTGTGTTTTCCGACCTAGTTTTCAAATCAGGAGTCCTCGTGCCTGTTCGTTAAGTTTTCACGGCTCAAATTGGTCCCTCCTGAGATGTTCGGGGTGTTCCCCGGGCCTTCTCGTGATTGTTACACGATTCCGGCCTGCCGAGGCCTGTTTTCCAGCTTCAGTGCGAAAAAAGTACCTTTTCCGACCTAGTTTTCAAACCGGAAGTTCCGCGCTAGTTTCCACAAAATATGGTAGTCCCTTTGAAATTCAGCCATGGCACCAAGCTAGTCCACCAGAAACCGGTATTTTCCCATTGGTTTAAAAATTGTTATGAACACGGTAGCCTAGCTCGGCCCTGGTGTGACTTTGGATGGCTCGGCTGAGCAAACTCGCCCAGGGGCAAAGTGCAAGGGTGTGTCTGGCCAACCTAGTCAAGTCTACAAAGTGGAAATAAAAGTGTTATGCCCAGATAATTGGACCGCGCTAAGTAAATAGGCAGAGTAATATCAGCCTAGCTTGGTTACAGTTGCGTTACATACCATTTTTAATTCGGCCATGAAACAAGGCCGACTCAAGGTTTATAGCACGGTTGGTGTTCTATGCATTTCTAGTTCAGTCGAGTACTATCCTAAGGGTCACAAACAAGTTCATAGTTCGGTCACAGCACGATTTTGGATCAAAAATCATGTTCTAAACTGATTCAAAATCCAGTTGAGTGTGTCTTTAGGTTTGAGCGTGAGGTTTTTTGGGTTTATGGTATTTGCTCAAGTCTCTATTGCATATAACACGCATATATGGGAGATTAATTGCTATTCTTTAAAGAAAGGCGTATCAGTTAAAACAGAGAAAATGGCATGAGGAACTTACAGATTAAGGGCGTGAAAGCAGAATTCAATCAAACAAGCCCCTGCGACTGGGATTGAGACTTGGCAGTAGAAGATAAGGATTTGGAGTTAAAAATGTGAGAGGTTTTCCAGAGGGCAGATGAACAGTAACAATGGACGTTTGAAGACTAAGGGAATAAGTGCAAAATGGAAGTAAAAAGGCGGGACTATTCAAATTTTGGAAGTTATGATTGACGGCTGTCACAGCGGTAGAGGCAATCAAGGGGAGCCACGTATCCCAGTAAGGGCGTGGTGTCAGCAGCGTGGAAAAGCGGGTTGTACTACGTCAAAGACGGGAAAACCGAGTGGGTTTTGTAGCTCGACTAGCCGAAGTACTTCCCTTTGGCTAATATCTTAGCACGGTTTGAAGGTAATAATCCTAGTCATGCTTCGCAAATGGAACTAAGGGCCAATTGAGAGGATAATTTATGTGCATAAACCGGGCCGAGCTAGGTCCATTTGATTTAAGTATTGGGCCTAGCTAAGTAGACTCCACAATTCGTAAGGGCGCGCTTGCGGCCGAGCTAAGAGCTTTTATAGCTCGGTCTTGTGGTGTACAGATATCAGTCCAAGGACTGGAGCAGATTGGCTAGATGTAAACAGCAACTCGGACTGGGGTATATTTGTAGCATACTGGACTGAAGGTTATCTCAGTCGAATACCATCTTGGTTCTATCCAATGTAGAGCAGGGGCAGGCTAGCTCAATTGAGTGTACTACCGAGCTAAGGCAGGAGGTTAGAGCCGTCTCACTTGGTTGGTAGTGAGTAGGATGTTATGAGGATAGGGATTATCCTTGGGAGTGTGATTATTAGGAGGACTCTTATAAGGAGAGCTGGAGTCCTACTAAGATTGTGCCAGGTGGAATCTATAAAAGCTCATGATAGGACCTACGTACAGGTATCACAATTCTTATTCTCAAATACACAGAGCTTTTGTGTCTATAGTCTATTTGCTGACTTAGGCATCAGAAGGGTTTCCGGCACACACCCACCAGCTAATTCACGTTTGTATTTTCAAGTGATAAGACGAGGACGTTTGAAGGAGTGTAAACTTAATGAACAGAATTATACGAGACAGATTATTTCGTGCTCGTACAATTTTAATAAAATAAAATAAAAATTCAACTTTTTAACCGAGCTACCAAAATAATCTATCTTCATCCTCTCCATCCCAGCCCAACCCGAAGCTTCGTTTTTCCACCCTCTTCTACATATACATAAACATATAAATATATACATGGGTGAGAGGCGAGAGAGAGAGAGAGAGAGAGATGGGGGTGGAGATTGTGGAGCCAAACACATGCATTCGGGGTTGCTGCCGGAGCGACTCAATTTCTCTGCATCTCCCACCTTCTTCCTACTCTCTCTTAAACCCAATTGCTCGAGGTATCAATCAATATATATGTGTGTGTATTTGTTTTTTTGTTTCTTAATTGCAATTCAAAGAGAGAGCTTAATTTGTGGCCCTTAATTTGTACCCCTCTTTGGCTTTGCTCTCACATTGGCTTTGTTGTTGTGAATGTGAAACTGAATTGGTGTGTATTCATTCTGTTTCAGGAGCAGAAAGTGTGGTTTATGAAGCTGTTTTGGATGGAAACAAGGTTGCTATGAAAAAACCCATTTTGTCTACGTCTGATCACATTGATAAATTCCACAAGGAATTGCAAATGCGATGGTCATTTCTACTCTCTCTCTCTCTCTCTCTCCATATATACAGTAGCTCATTTTGTCCTATTTAGCACACAAATATTCTCCACCTTTTCTCATTTTCTATCTCTGCCTTACGTGAATTCCAAATTAGCAAATCCCCTTTTTGTGTGTATATACATGTGTGTGTGTGTCTCACTATGTAAGTAACCGACTATAGTGCGATGATCAAGGCCTGCCCTGAGTTGTTGGAGCCCTAAGCGGACTCTTGAAATTGGAGCCTTTTATATATAATCATTAAAAAAATTGCATGTAAAATAGTAAGTATTTACATTATATATATATATATATATATTTAAATTTGCTATTACCCACACAAATTTAGCTTGCAGATATAATTACTAAAATTTAACTTACACAAATTAAGACACGAAGAAAAATCATTACAAGAGCTCAAAATGATAAGAATATTGTCTTGTTAGTTTTATAATTTGACCAAATTCAGTTTACAAAAAGGTATCAGTTAAATAATACCAAATAAAAATTGAACCAACTACAACAGTGTATCAGTTAAATATTACTTTTCTCACATTTTTTAATGCAAAATTACTAATTAAGCTTGCATAATCTGTAAGGACCCTTTAGTTTAGATTGTGAACTTAGATTAGTTGTACTGAATCCTTATTTTTGAGCCTACTAATGCTATAAGAGTTAAAATTAATTAGGGGCCCCTAAATTTTGTTAAAATTTGGAGGCCCTTGGTGGTCTTGCCTCAAGGTTGGGGCTGGCCATGATGCATTTGGGGGAGGAGAGGGATATTGGTTCTGGAAAAGGATGTTGAGGTGGTTTTAGGTAGTTTTACCATTTTATCATTCTGTGCAAATCAAAATAGAATCCAAAGATGTTTGAGCACGGGGTAATTCAGGCATACTAAAAATCTGTCAGGGACATCAATTAAGGTGTTTCCTTCTAATAATAGTATAAAATATGCGCTTATATATGAATTTATGTGTGTAGATGTTTATGTATGTGTATTTGGTTTGTTTATTTGAATGTCTACATGTGATATGCGGGATTCTTTTTTGACAATTTGGTTATATGATGTGATGATGAAGCAAGTTAGATCATCCAGGAATCGCCACATTGGTTGCAGCACATGCAAAGCCTCCAAATTACATGTTTTTCTTCAAATTCTACGAGTCCCTAAATTTGGCAGAGAAACTACATGTGGAAGAGTGGAATCCAAGTTTTGATCAAGTGCTCACCATCTCAGTCCAGTTAGGTATGTCTTTGATGATCTTGGCTTCATTTGAGTTTGTTTTAATTTTGTGGAGTAAACCTTAATTCCTTACTCGTCATTGAAATTCTTTGTATTTTCTTTGTGATATTATGTGCAAAATTCCTCTTATTAAGGGTAAATAAGTAGTATAGATTAGGCTGAACATGACACTCATAGACTTATTACCTGTTATGATTTGTTTAGGTAATATGAAATACTTGAGATGATTCTTATAGGTGCTTAGTTCACAATGATGACATGTTAGTGATGTGGTGTAGATTTCAGGTTTAGGTTTCTAACTACTGTAAAGTTATATAGTGAATCTTTCCATTGGTGTTTTTCTTGCTTGAAGTCTCTTTTTACTTTGAGTGTTGCTAATGGTACTACTCGTGCTCCGTCACAATTATTACAAATGATAAATTTTCGAAATTCTTGGACATTTAGTCTTTTTTGGAAAAATAATAAATAAAGAAATGTAGTAAATCCGTTAAACATAGCCTTCTATTAAACCTAGACGAAAACAAAAATTTTAACCCTAGTTTTTGTTTAAATACAATTGAAGGAGTAAAGTAGTAACTTAAATGATAGATTTTTGTCAGGAGCAAAACTCCAACCACCCCTACCAAAATAATAATAATAATAATTACAACCCCTAGCAATAATAATAATAATAATAATGATAATAATAATATTTATCAAAAAAAATAATAATAACAATTATAAAAATTAAGCCATTCAGCAATAAACACCTATGAAGTACGATACTCCAAAAATGGTGTCGTACGAGTACTGGGTACTTACCGGGTGCGGGTACGAGTACCGGTACGGCAGTACACGTACCGGGTACGCCGAATACATGTCGTGTACGGCAAATACATTTGGGTACGTCATGGGTACATTGTGGGTACGGCGTGGGTATGACACCAGTACGGCAAAATGAATTTTTTTTTTTTTCCCCTCAGATGCTAGAATTTATTGCAGCCTTTATTATTATTCTTTCAATTTTGAAAATATCAAGTAATTTATTTCCAACACTCTTTACCTATGAGTCGTGGTTTTGGTCTCTTTTGTATCCTGTTTTAGACAATCAAAAAAGAAAAAAAAATAATTGTATAACTTTTTAGACAAGTTGTTCTCTTTTTAGTTTTGATATTGAAATTTTGATTTGTATGTTGGATGTTTGGCTATAAATTTTTAAAAAAATTAAAAAAAATTGATGTACCCAGCCGTACTAGTACCCTACTTTTTAAAGAATTTTCCGTATCGGTGTACCCGTATCGTACCCGTACCCGCACCCATGCTTCATAGATAAACACTTAAGGCTGTAAATTACTATTTGACGATTGTCACCGTCTAGAGGGAAAAAAGGTAATAAAAAAATTTAAAAAAGTGAAATGAAAGTCAAAATGTAAATGCTTTGGTATGTAACTTTATTTTGTTGATTAAGGTTGGAGTTTTCTATTTATTCGAGAGGCTTTTATAGGAACAAATGAAATTACAATGGACTTCATTTGATTGAAGGGTTGATATCGTGTCTTTAACAAATTAGGAGCAATTGAAATAGGCGCATGCCTCGGATGCGCTTCGTTAATGTCATCTCACCTCAAGGATGGCAATGGATCGGATTTTGAGTGTGAATTCTTACTTTTAAACTTAATTAATTTAGTGATACAATTTTATACTTTACTATAAACCTGACAATTTTGACCTACCTACCGCTATAGTTTACCCTACCCTGGCCCTCAGGTGCACCTTACTACACTTTGTGCCTAGGTGCGTGCCTAAGCACGCTTTTGATAGCATTGGCTTAGATTTTACACACATTCCATAAAACATACGTTGTCAATGATTAAGGATGTGCAATCTACTACCATGTTGTGTTCTTAAGTATTGTTTTTTTCAACATATAGGAATTAGTAGTGTTTTTTGTCAATTTTGAATAGATTATTCCTGATGCATCTAGAGAAGGGAACCCAAACTTAGATTAGGTTATTGACCATTGACCAAAATAAAATAAAGAGATTAACTTATTGGTAAGTTTTAGCATGTTGCACAAGATTTATAAGAATGTCTAAACATATGAGTGATGATAATGAAGTATTTATGTCACGATGGACATAATGCTCTTCAAAAATTTTGATAAATATCCTTGAATTTCTGTAAAACATGGGAATAGCTAACGTGGAATATGATTTCAATTTTTAAAACATTCATGAATAAATAATGCAAATAATATTAATTTTTCTAAATTATTTCCAACATCTCACCAATTTAACCTGCATGGATAGCCTAGTAGTCAAAGGAGTGAGATATAAACTCAGATGTTTTGGGTTCAGCTCTTGCTGGCATCTAGACCCTGTCTTGGAGAGGTTCTTCATCATCCAAAAGGAAAAAAACCTCGCCAATTTTAAAATTTGGTATTGCTACTCAGCATCTTAGGTAGACGTCCTAATTAGATACCTCTTTAAGTTTCAGCTGAAAATTCTTGGAATTACTTTATGGATTTAATGGTAACTACTGAACCTCTTCAAATTACTCGTCTCATTAATTTAGAAATTCCAAATTTGTTTTGGTTTCAGCTCTCGCTGCTTCTTCTCTGTTTCTTTCTCTATCTTCTGCTTCCTTTGTCTCTCTCTTCTCTGCATATTCTTCTCTTTTCTGCATCTTCCCTGGTTCTTTCTCCTTCTCTGCATAGCTTAGCTTCGCTTCTTCTTCCTCTTCTTTACTGCTTTCTTCTTCTTCATCTTCCCAGCTGGTTTCTTCTTCCTCTCCCCTGTTGCTTTCTCTTTCTTCTTCTTCACTGATGTTGCTTCTATTCTCTGCTTCTTCTTTGAATCTATTATCTACTTCCCCGCGTCTGCTACTACTCCTACTACTGCTGATCTGTCTGTTCTCTACTGTAGCTGTTGTTTTCTCTTCTCCCTAACTGTTGTTGGATCTTTCCTCTGTCACTGATGTTGCCTTCTCTCTTTCTTCTCTACTGCTGCTGCTGATGATGATGATGATGAGGATTTCATCCGTGTCCAATTACTTAATTTGTTTACTCTTTGCTTGGTGCCACATATGTGTTTTGATGGAATTCCTGTGAGAAACCAGTTTACTTGTTTGGGAGTTTGGGCTGAATGTAGTAAAGTTCTCCATTTGAGTTATATCACTTGAAATTTTTTCTAACTAAAGCCAAACTAAGCTAAATCCGAGTACATAGGAAGGAGAAACTTTGGAGCAATTTTTTGAAACGTAAACATCTCTTCAAACTCGAGATGGGTTTTCTCCGACAAGAGGGGTTTGATGTAATGTGGTCCCATAGGAAAAGATTGATTGCTGATTACTGGCATTGGATAAGCTTATTGCTGTATGTCTGTCCCTTTGTTTTGATTCTCTGTTTTATGAACGTATGATAAGGTTTATACTAAAGTTATAATGATCATGTTTCCTATTTTACAGCTAAAGCTCTGCAACATCTACATAAACTTGGGATTGTACACAGGGATGTAAAACCAGCAATATTCTTGTAAAGGCCATCATCATTTTCTGATTTGTTTTGTTTTGTTTTGTTTCTGATCTTTTTGTGGGTAAGATTTTGTGTTTCCTATTGAAGTGGTTGAATAATATGCTGCTGGTGCCTCTGTTTTTTTTTTTTTTTGGCAGCTTGATGAAAACCTTCGTCCACATCTGGCAGACTTTGGTTTAGCAGAATATAAGAAAGATCTTAAACGAGTTTCTATGGAGAACTGGAGGTCATTTGGAAAGCCAACTGGTGGTTTCCATAAAAAGAATATGGTCGGCACACTCATTTATATGGCGCCTGAAATATTGAGAAAGGAGATACATAATGAAAAGTCAGATGTATATAGTTGCAGGTGTCCTTCACGTGTTGCATCTTGCATTTTTTGAAATTTGTTGTGCTAGCGTGTCCATGTCATATCTCTATCGTGTCTCTTGTCCATGTCCATACTTCTTAGAGTGTCTAATAATGGATTAAACACTATTTTCTTGGGCTGACTATTTTCATGTCGTACTTGTCGAAAAGCAAATAGAATGATTGGTCATCTTGATCATTCATGAATGCCTTAATTCACTTTATCTAACAAATTTCGTGGCAATGTAATAACAAGAAGGGTATGCATGTACTTTATATTGTTAGATTCGGGGATAACATTTCAATGCTAGATAGTATGTATAGACCGAGTCTTTTGCTTTGTTATCTAGGCAGCTTATTTCTCTTACAGTCCTACCTTGTCGTAGAACTTGGGATTTGATAGATCATTATCATTTGCAATGACATGTAGAAGAATTTATTTTATATAATTTCATATAAACATGAAATTTGATTTCGATGTGTTGCAGTGAACTGCTTACTGGTGTTGTCCCATATACTGATCTTCATGCAGAAGCACAGGTTTGACTTTTTCCTTTTACTATAACTCACTGTTTACATGGCTATATGGCTGTTAAATTATCACTCTTGCGAGTGGAGGTGTAGAAATGTGTGTGGGCCAGTAATAGCATAGATGAAGTAAATGTCTGAGGAGTTTGGCACCTCCTTGATGTTGATGTTACGTGCCCCGAAAGTGCTGGTGATGTAATGGGTGCTAACTCCTATTTATAAGAGGGGGGGTCACAAGACCCATAACAAATTTCCTAGATATTTCTGTATTCCATTAGGATATGCCACAACATGTGGCTGTGTATCAATCCCTTAGGATTTGCCTTGATCCCTCAGCATCCACACAAAAGGTCCAATGGTGTGGTATCTCTCTCTCAGTAAGGCTGGCTTAAGTGGCACTCACGGGGTGTCGTAGTGATCAACACTTTAGTCTCTAGCCACCAAACCACAAAATCTTCCGAGGTGCTATGTTGAATACTTCAGCATATATAAGTCCTGCCTCTTTGACTTGGCTATTGGACGAATGGCACAGTGTTACTATCGCAGAGTTGAAGGACATGTAGTTTGACCACCATGGTGATTAAGACAAGTGGAACACTTGAATCCTGCAGTTTAACCACAGCAGTTTCAGGCAAGCGTGGCATGAACTCATTTTCTGGGACTTGGGGTATTTTTCCTGCCACTCTGTGTTGAAGGTCATGTAGTTTGACCACCACGCTAAGCTCTCTCATTTTCAGCCACTCTGTGTTGTTCAATCTCATTTAACATCTAGTGGGATTTCTCTTCCTGCTTTCTAGATTACTTCTCATACCATTCCTCATTTTTCTTGTCATTCAGTTTATGAGCACACATATGTTCATGCATATAACTGCTTATCAGGGTTCAGGTTTCCCATATAATTTTCATATTCTAAAAATTGTATTAAAAAAAAAAAGGTTTCTGTTGAAGTTAAGTTTCTTCTGGACGTCCAATTCTTCACAGATAATATCTTACATCTTAATCTGACTGAATGCCCCCTAATCATTTGACCTGTCAACTATGCTTTTTAACATGGTTGTGCATCATGTGATCTGCTTGCAGGCCCACGCTGTGCTGGAAATGAACTGTACTGAACAGCAACTTACAGCAGCCGTGGTGTCTGAAGGATTGCGACCTGCTCTTGCTGGTCACAGCTCGTCTGCACCAACAGGTTTCCCGTCCTTGATACAGAGATGTTGGGATGCAAATCCCCAAAATAGGCCTTCTTTTGATGATATTATTCTGGAACTTGATCCCATCTTGGAATGCAGAAAGAGAGTAGAGGAAGACGAAAAGGAAAAGGCACTTGTTGACCCCTCTATCCCTCTTGGTGATGAGGGCATCCCGAGCCTTCTTGCTTATCAAAAAAGTATTAACTGGTTTACTGAGGGTGAAAACCTGTCAAAGAGATCTTGTCTCGCAGCTGATTCTGGTGTCAGAATTTGGCCTGATCCTTTTACTGATCCTTCAGCATACCATCCAGTGCTGTCTTGGGATCCTTCAGTACTTGTGGGAGTAGGGAGACAATGGAGGACACTCACTTTCTTATGCCCCATATGTGCGGTGAGAAGGATATCCATGTGTTTGGAATCTTTGATGGTCATCGAGGTGCGTCATAAATTAAGAGCTACTTATTTTCATCCTATTGGTGTATTTGGTACCAAACTCAAGCAACAGTGGATTTTAATGAGAACTAAAGCTCATGTGGGTGATCACAATATTAATTAATAAACAATTGCTTGGGCATCACTTGAAGTGTTTCTTAATGAAACCAGAATGACATAATGAGCATTACAAAGCCCAACTATTACAAAATGGAATTATTTGGAAATTAGTTTTAAGAAATTAATGTTTAAATTCTTGAAGAATTCCTTTTTTTTTTTTCTTTTTTTTTTTATAATTCTTTTTGGTTGTTTCCAAACATAGCCTATGTGTCGTGCATTAGTTGCTCTAGATTACAATAAAAATGGCAAGATCAAATGCAGGTGCAGCAGCTGCTGAGTTTTCTGCTCGAGCTCTACCAGGATTTTTGCAAAGTCTTGGTTCCATAAAAAGGTTTCTTCCATTCTATTATTCTCGTGGGCTCTTTACATTCTATAATCTATATATGAATGTGTGGAAAAAACCTGGGCTGAAACCACTGTGGTCGGCTGGGCTGGTTTCCAATGTCTAAAGAAATTCCAATCACTCAAACTGGCCTTAAAAAAGTGGAATAATGATGTCTTTGGCAATGTGGAGTACAATCTTAAGCTCTTAGAGGAGGAACTTCATAGTCTTGATCTGGCAGCTGAGGTTAGACCCTTGACTGTTTCTGAGCTATCTAGAAGAAGGTTGGCTAAAGAGGAAGCCTGGAAATTGAGTAGAATGGTTGATTGGATTTGGATGCAAAAATCCAGGACTAATTGGGCACTAAAAGGGGATAAAAATACTAAATTTTTCCACATTCTGGCATCTTCCAGGAGCAACAAAAATGCATTAAGTTCAATAACTGTGGATGGGGCTATTAAGGAAGATCCTGGAGATGTTAGGGCTGAAGTTTTGCAGCACTTTAAAAATCAATTTGCAGAATTTTGGCCAAGCAGACCAAACTTGTCTGGCCCTTTTAAGTCCATTGGGGGAGCTGATGTTAGAGCTTCATTAGAAGCTGAATTTTCTGAAGCAGAAATAGTAGCAGCTGTAAAGGGTTGTGCAGGGAACAAGGCTCCTGGGCCTGATGGATTCAATATGATGTTGTTTCAAAAATGTTGGTCGACAGTTAAAGGCGATGTGATAAAGTTTGTTAAGGAATTCCATAAGAACTCTAAATTGGTTCAAGGTCTTAACAGTTCCTTTGTGACTTTAATTCCAAAATCTGACAATCCTTCTTGCCTTAATGACTTCAGGCCTATTAGTCTAATAGGTTCTTTGTATAAAATTCTTGCCAAAATTCTGTCAAACAGGATGAAGAAGGTAATGCCATGCATTATTAGTGAAACCCAATCAGCATTCATTGGAGGTAGGAATATTTTGGATGGTATCTTCATTGCGAATGAAATTGTGGATGGTTGGAAGAAGAATCAGAAGAAGGGCATTGTTCTAAAACTTGATTTTCAGAAAGCCTTTGACTCCATTAACTGGGCTTTCCTATTCTCTATGCTATCTAACTTTGGGTTTGGTAATAAATGGATTAGTTGGATTCAAGAGTGCTTAACATCAGCAAAAATTTCTATCTTGGTAAATGGATCTCCCACATCTGAGTTTTCTCCGGAGAGGGGACTGCGTCAAGGGGACCCTTTATCACCACTTCTGTTTAATATTGTGGCTGAGGTTCTGAATATTCTGTTATTGAGAGCTCTGCAGAGGGGTTTGATTAAAGGGGCAGTGGTAGGAGCAAATGACGTTAGGATCACCCATCTTCAGTTTGCAGACGATACAATCCTATTTTGCGAGGCTGATTGGGGCGAGATAGTTGCAATCAAAAGGATTTTGAGGTGTTTTGAAATACTATCCGGGTTGAAGATTAACTATCATAAGAGTGTGGTATGTGGGATTGGGCTAGATGATGAACTTTCAAAGGAGTTTGCTTCCAAATTGAATTGCCTTCAACAAAGTCTGCCTCTTAAATACTTGGGTTTGCCATTAGGAGCTAGTCCAAGGAAAAGAAGGACATGGCAACCAGTGATTGATAAATGCAAACAGAAATTGGCTACTTGGAAGAGAAGGTTCCTATCCTTTGCTGGTAGATTGACACTTATAAAATCTGTGCTGTCTAGTTTACCAATCTTTTTCTTATCTTTGTTTAAGATGCCAGCGGGTGTTGCAAAGGAAATAGTCAAAATTCAATCTAGATTTTTATGGGGTGGTGATGAGCTTAGAAGGAAAGTTCATTTGATCAGTTGGAAGGAGATTTCACAGAGGAAAAGCCAAGGAGGCCTTGGAATCAAGAGACTTACACTTATGAATGATTGTCTTCTTTTGAAGTGGTGGTGGAGGTTTGGTTTTGAAAATGATGCCTTATGGAAACAGGTGATCTGTAGCAAATACAGCGAGGCTGGTAGGGGCTGGTGGCCATTACCTGTGGTAAATTCCAAGTCTTCCCAGATATGGAAGGGTATTATGGGTGTTGCTTGGCATAATCCTGACCTGGTTGGCTTCTTCAAGAGCAAGTTAAGCTTAGTTATTGGGGATGGGAGAAGAGCACAATTTTGGGAGGATATCTGGATCGGCAATGTCTGCTTAAAAGAGGAATTTCCTAGATTGTACTCCTTATCAGTGGACAAAGCTGAATCTGTGCATTTGGTGCTCAGTAGGTGGGTTGGTTTGGTGGAGGATAATCTATGCTTCAGACGAGTTCTGTACCAGTGGGAGTGTGAGGGTTTGAGGAGGTTATATGAGATGCTCTCTAATGCACCTGCTCTTGTAGAAGGGACTCCTGATAGATTATCATGGGCTGCAGATTCATCAGGGCTCTTCTCTGTTGCCTCTACCTACAAGGGGTGTGAGTTAAGTCTTGTTAACAATAGTAAAATAGCATATTTCATTTGGAAGAATGTCTCTCCACCTAAAGTTCAATTTTTTGGTTGGTTAGCTTGGAAAGGCAGGATTAAGACTTCTTGCTATCTCCAAAGAATTGGAGTTCTCAGTGGTGGGTTTGATCCTCGTTGCATTTTCTGTAAAGGCGAGGTGGAGAATATTAATCATGTGTTATTATTTTGTCCCTTCACTTGGAGGATTTGGTCTAGAATTTTACAATGGTGGGGTATTTAGTGGGTTTTGCCTGGGTCTGTCAGTTGTCTGTTTAACTGGTGCACTGGTATTAAGCTTCAAAAGCAGGAGAATCTGGAGAGCAATCCCCCTAGCAGTGCTATGGTCAGTTTGGAAACGGAGAAATGAGTGTATCTTCGGTAATGCTCAGGTGGATCTTGATGAACTATGTGAATCCATTAAGGTTAGGATTGCTTTGTGGGTTAAATCTTCTTGCCCTTCCATTAATTACTCTGTTATTGACTTAGTTCATCACCTTCAGCAAGTTAGAATCTGCATTAGGAGTGGCTCTTGTGTTGGAATCTTCAGCTGCTGGTATGGCAAACGATGGCTGTGTTGCTTCTGGTTGGTGCTGTTTTTGTCTTAGTTCATCACCTTCAGCAAGTTACAATCTGCAGCTGCTGGCAAATGATGGTTGTGATGTTTTTTCATCTGATGGCCTTAGTTCATTTGATGGCCTTAGGAGTGGCTCTTGAGTTAGAATCTACAGCTCTTGGAGTGAGAATCTGATATCTGCAGCTGTTTGGTGCTGTTGAGTTAGAATCTGCAGCTCTTGGTGCTGGTTTGGTATGGCAATTGTTACTGGCATGGCAATTGTCGAGTTAGAATCTGCAGTTGTTTGGTGCTGTTGAGTTAGAATCTGCAGCTCTTCAGTTAGAATCTGAGGGCCTTAGTTCATCTGGTTGGTGCTGTTTTTGTCTTAATTCATCACCTTCAGCAAGTTAGAATCTGCAGCTTCTGGTTGGTGTTGTTATTGACTTGGTTCACCTGTTGTTGCTGGTGTATCATCTATTGGCCTTGGTGCTTTTGGTGTTTTTTCTCTCTTTTCCTGTCGGTTTCTCACCAACTTTTCGATGGTGCTAGAAAATGATTAGGTATCCTCCTTAGTGCCAACCTAGTTGGGATTGAGGGATGTACTTTGATGCTTTTTGCACTTCCTTTCTTTATTGATGTTTTTTCATATGTAATGTATGTTTTCTCATCAATAAAGTTCTTTTTTTTTTGCTGATCCAAAAAAAAAAAAAATAACTTTCAGAAACACTTGTTCACTATATAGAATATGTGTATATATAAAAAAAATAAATAAACAAATAAAAAGAGGGTTGTATGACAGTACTTTTTTTTTTTTTGGTCTTCTATTATTACAGGCTTTCTTTGGTGTTTTTGATGGGCATGGAGGGGGAAAAGCTGCTGAATTTGTGGCAAAAAACCTAGATAGAAACATTATGAAGGAAGTGATGAGTAGATGCGAAGAGGAAATCATAGAGGCAGTGAAAGATGGGTACCTTTCCACAGACGCGGAGTTTCTAAAGGAAGATTCAAATGGTGGTACTTGCAGCGTCACGGCATTGATACGTAATGGCAACCTTGTTGTCTCAAATGCTGGTGATTGTCGTGCTGTTTTGAGTCGAGAAGGGGTTGCAGAGGCCCTAACAGATGATCACCGGCCTTCTAGGAAAGACGAAAGAGACCGGATTGAAAATCAGGTAATTAAGATGGTCAAAATTCCTAGCAATGCAGAATGTAAAAAATATCGTTCACATTGAAGCTGATCGATTCTTGCAATATCTATCTTGTAGGGTGGCTATGTGGACTGTTGCAATGGAGTTTGGAGAATACAGGGATCTCTGCTGTATCCAGAGCATTTGGGGATCGACATCTTAAACAATGGGTAGTGACAGAACCAGAGACAACGTTATTAAGAATTACACCTGAATGCGAGTTCTTAATTCTTGCTTCTGATGGACTTTGGGACAAGGTAAATTGCAAACATCACATTCATTTAATAAGTCATCTAAATTATATCCTAGTTGATTTCATTTCATAAAGATTTGTATGCCTGATGATTTGTTTTCTATTTTCAGGTTAGTATTCAGGAGGCAGTAGATGTAGTTCGCCCTTCAAGCATTGGTGTTGATAAATCGAAGTCAATGTCAGCTTGTAAAAGGCTAGTTGACCTGTCAGTAATGAGAGGTTCCATTGATGATATAAGTGTCATGGTGATTCTATTAGCCCACTTTCTTCCATAATTGATAGGTTGATAATACATACTTATAATCTTTTTCAGAATGTTCCCAACCTCTCAATCAATTGTATCATCTATGCATGTTTTTCACATTTCTTCCCCGAGTTTTTTTTTTACAAAGTTGTAACGGGAAAATGAGGGAAGAAGTGTTTTTTTGTGCGTAAATTATATCCCATTCTAGGTGAATGGGTGATGTAGTGGATGCTAATTACCAACATAAATCTAGCCTTTTATAGGAATTTTAGTTTTAGTTTGTCAAAAAAGTTAAGCCTCTTTGAGTTAACCGTCGGGTGTGATGTTTTATAGTCATTTGTTGTCATGCTTTGAGTTGCAATTCTTCACCATGGAAATAACAGGATGGTATATAGAAGTATGGATTAGGCATGTCAATGAATCAAATTTGAACCGGATATTTGGTGTAATACGAATTCGAGCAGATTACAAAACAATCTTAATCCAAATGCAATCTCATTATGTTAAATCTAATAATATATCATTTAAATATGGCTTATCCAACTACCCGACCCTATTTGGATGTGATTATAGTATAGAATTATTTGATATAATTGTACGTTATGTGACTATTGTATTATATTTGATTAAAACGAGATAAAGAATATGACAAAATTTTGAAGGTGATTGCACCAAACAATCACGTAGTTAATGACATTACACTTTATTTTTAATATTTCACTCTTTTTACAAGAGGGTAAAAGATAAAAGTATTGTAGGTTTAAATTGAAGTTAGTACAATTTTTTGGTTGTTGCCCATAATTTTTAAAATATGATAATCAAAGTGAATACAATAGTACCTGGGAGAGTACACAAACCACTCATTCATTCAAGACAGCAAGACTGACCACTCAAGAAATTTTATCACAATCCAATCCTACAATAATCTCATTTAAATTTTGTCAGATTATCAAGTCAAATATTTGTTAACAAATTCAAATTTTTAGAACCGAATTTAAATTTAATCTAATCTATTGACATGCCTATTGTGAATGCTATACTGAGGAATTCATTGGGCAGCCTGGGATTTCCACTTCCTCAAGCTCCAAAAGACTGGACAGTGCTCAAATTTGGTGGTTAAGCTGGATTTCAACAAGGCATATGATAGGGTTGAGTGGGATTTCCTTGAAGCTGTTCTTCGGAAAATGGGTTTTCATGAGAGATGGATTATGTGTTTCAATAGTGACTTTCTCTGTTTTTGTTAATGGGGCTAAACGGACTTGTTTCAAACCAACGAGAGGACTGAGCTAAGGGGACCCTCTGTCTCCTTATCTTTTTATTCTTGTGATTGAGGTGCTCTCCAAGCTTTTGCACAAAAGCCTTAGAGACCATCAATTCGCAGGGATCAAGGTGCGGAGGTCTTGCCCGACTCTATCCCATTTACTGTTTGCGGATGATGCCTTATTATTTCTGAAAGCTGATTTGGGCCAGTGTCGTAATGTTCTACAAGTTTTGGAGATGTACTGCAAGGCCTCGAGACAATCAATCAACTTTGACAAATCGGGCATCCAGTTTTCATCATCGGTGCGGCCTTTGGTAGAGCATCAAATTTGTGAGTTAATGCAGATGAAACCGGTGAAGGCTGGGGCGAAATATCTGGGGTTGCCATCATGTTGGGGCCGATCAAAAAAGGAAGGCTTTAGTTATCTGACAGACCGGATGATGGATAAGCTTCAAGGTTGGAAGACGAAATTTCTATCACATGCAGGCAGAGAAATCTTACTAAAAGCCGTAGTGCAAGCTATCCCCACTTATGCAATGGCTTGCTTTCTCTTCCCCAAAAGTTTATGTGAGTCTATGAACTCAATGATGAGCAATTTTTGGTGGTCAGGTGACTCTAAGAGCAGAGGAATTCATTGGGCAGCCTGGGACAAGTTGACCTTGCCTAAGATGAAAGGGGGTTTGGGGTTTCGTGATTTTCGAGCTTTTAATAAAGCATTACTAGCCCGGCAAGGGTGGCGTCTTCTCAAATATCCCAACTCGTTTGTGGCCAGGTTCTTAAAGGTATCTATTTCCCTAGCTCAGATTTTTGGCATGCTTCCAAAGGATCCCGAGCTTCTTGGGCGTGGGCAAGTCTTCTTGAGGGCCGTAATATTCTTCAACGAGGGTCTCGGTGGCAAATTTCAAATGGGGCCTCAGTCCAGTTTTGGGAGAATAAATGGGTTGCAACGGCAAAGGATTTCAGAATCAAATCCCCTAAGCCAGCTGGGTGTCCTATTTCTAAAGTCACAGATGCAATTAATTCGACCACAAACTCCTGGAATGTGGGGCTGTTGCAGAGTATGATGTCAAGCTCTGATGTCCGTAATGTTTGTGCCCTTCCTATCTCTTCTGGCACCATTGAAGATGCTATTATCTGGCACCATGATCCTAAAGGCCTTTATCAAGTCAAATCTGGGTACCAAGAAGAGAAAATGTTTCAACAAACTCAGCTTTCGGCCAGCCCGTCCACTTCTTTCCAAGTTCCGGATCAGGTCTGGAAAATGCTTTGGGGCCTTCCGGTCCCTCCGAAACTCAAACATTTTTGGTGGCGCTGCTGCCACAATTCTCTGGCTACGAAACAAAATTTATTCCGTCGTAAAAGCTCTCGGGAGGATGTGTGCCCGATTTGCCTTGCTGAGTCTGAATCTATCAAGCATTTAATTTGCGGGTGTGCTTGGACTAAAGCTGTCTGGTTTGGCAGTGATTTGAGCCTGACTTTCAAGGATGAGGTTACATCTATTTCTAGGTGGATGTGCAATCTATATTCTTCCTTCTCCCATACTAAAGAGCGGATGTACTTTTTCAGTAAACTTTTGTGGGTGGGTTGGCACATTTGGAAATCTAGGAATGCTCTGGTCTTTCATCGATTGCCAGTGGATCCGCAGTCTACCATTTACCAAGCTACTAGGGATAATCTGGAATTTCTATCAGTTGGCCCTTGTCATAGCTTCGGGGGAAGCCTCACTCATCCATTAGCGGAAGTGTCAAAAGAAGTTTGGACTGCTCCTTCGTCAGGTTGTTTTAAAGCGAATTGTGATGTGGCCATGGGAAAAGGCTCGACCACGGCTTCTATTGCGGTGTTGTTTCGAAATTGAAAAGGTGAGTTGGTAGATGGGGTTGTGCAAAGGATAGCTGTACAATCCGTCTTGCAAGGGAAGGCTTTTGCGGTCCGTAAGGCATGCCTCATGGCCCGAGCTCTTAATCTCTCTCAGGTAGAAATTGAGGGGGATAACAAATCAGTCATTTCGCTGTGTGTCTCTGAAGATGTTCCTCCCTGGACTTGTGCACCTATTATTGAGGATATCAGAATGTTAGCTCGCTATTCTAACCTGTCTTTCCATTGGTCTCCTTGGTCGGCAAACGGGGCAGCTCACTGGACTGCCAGAGCTTATTTATCTGGTGCTCTTCCAGCCAACTGGGTGATCAATCCTCCCCTGCCTTTAGTGCGAGCTTTGGGCTGAGTTGTGTTTCTTTCCTTGCTTAGCTCTGTTTTGCTTTCCTTTGTTTCTGTGTTCAAAAAAAAAAAACCATTAGACTGGTTCATCATAAAAATAAAAATAAAAGCAAAAACAAAAACAAAAACAAAAAAATAAATGTATTCACTAAAAAACCTTCAATAATGCATCAAGAAACAAAACCAAAAGGAAGGTTAAATATATATATATATATATATACAGAACAGGGTAGATTGGTCATCAAAAAAAATTTAGCCCTCTTAATTAAGCCATCGCAAATCCATCTCCCAGAACATGAGAAAATACGACAAATCAACACATAAAGAAGATATCAATTAAGAATAAGACCCCAAAAAAATAAAAAATAAATAAATAAATTCTCAGTTCATCATCATCACAATCAAAATATATATATATATAAATGATCTTCTATTTTTTACATTGATGATGATTGAAGAACAAAAAATAATTACTATTTCTTATTTCCTATGTCAGGTTCTATACTGATATACATAATATTTACAATTGTCCATCATGAATCAAATTATTGTGAATAATTTTGGTTGAATCTTAAAGTTGTATGCATTATTTGAATCTAGATAGAGAAAAACGTATGCGTTTTTAAAACAGAGATTTGTATTGCATCTCAAAATTTTACAAGTTATCTTCATACACTTTTTTTTGTTTAAATTATATTTTATGAATTGTAATATTTTACATAGTACTTTAATAATTAAGGTATGATGTCAAAATTCTAAATAATAACCACTTTAATTAGTTTTATTTTTTAAATCTATTTTTTAATTTTTCGTTTTCATATTTTTTTAATTTTAGTAATTAAAGATGCTGGAATTTATTCAAATTTTATATTTAAATTATATTTTTATATGAAAATCTAATATCTAATAATCTAAATAGAATTAAAAAAGTAAAATATTGATAAAAAAATTTATAAATTCAAACATGTATTGATTTTTTATTATTATATTTTTTTGTTATTTTTATTATTATTTAATATCAATAATTTTGTTTTCCCAAAAAGAATACACAATAAATTATTTTCTAAGTGTATTTTGATTAAGTGAATCTAAATCTAAAAGTAAAATTAAAAAATAAAAAGTAAGTGAATTTAAAAAGAAAATAAAAGAGTTATTAAAAAAATAGTGTCGACAGACACACAAAAAAAAATGAAAACCAAAAAATTCAAAACAAACGTTTGAAAAAATAAACCAAACCAAACATTATAAACTTATCTTTTTTAAATATTTTTTCACTAATCTCTAATTTTACACAAATTATTCACAAATTTTAATTTGTATGTAAATTTGATAATCTAATTAAAAAATGGTGTATACACATAAAAATGTAACACTAAACATTTAAATTATGACTAACTATATCATTTTGAATAATTAACTTCTCAGGTTAGTTGTATTATATTATTACAAAAGATTTTACATATTACTTTTGTAATATCTTATATATGTCAATGTCTATATATATAAATATATAAAAATATATATAATTGTAAATTTATATATGGTACTGTATTCATAAATTATCAATCTATAATGCTATATTACCATTGGATACTTTAATTTCCTAACATGTATCACTTTAGTAATATAGTCATATTTAGTAGGAAAAAAATTACGAAATTGTGTATTGTTCTCCTATCAACTTATACTCAATACATATATACATATATAAATCATACAAACAAGTGTCCACAATAAACATTTTCAATAACAAATCAAGACTCTGCAAAATACCTCCATCACGACAATAATTGTATTTTTTTTTCCCCTCACATAAAAAATCACATTATTGAGGAAAAAATATTTTGAAGTTCATAACAATATGATATCGCCTCAAACTCTTATTCATTAAAATATTTTTATTGTAATGAGTTATAATGATGAGTAAGAAGAAAAACAAGAAGATTGTGAAATGAAAACTACAGAAGATCTATTGCAATATGCTCTCCAAGTAAAATTAGACGAGTTGAAGCAAGAATTATCCTATCTGTTGTAAAGTTTAAGAAAAATGATGTATTTTTTTTTTTTTTTTGAACAGGAGAAAAACAAATTATAAGGAAAAAAATCAAATAATATCCAAACATTATCGCAACAACTCAATGATACAGAAAATAAGTACATCAAATAAAAAGTTTCGACCAATTTTTGTTATATGCTGATTACTTACAGATGTCATAATAAATTATGTAACTTGACAGTTTTATTAAAGTGATCCATGCAAACACTTATAAGTATGGGTCTATAAATATCATGAAATAATTATACATAAATATCATGCAAACACTTAAAGTGATCCATGAAATAATTATAAAATTCCTAAATCGATTGAAATATTAAGTTACAATATCATTTTATTTTCTTCGAAAAATTATTTCACATTTTATACATAAATGGAAATATACTAATAGCTAATGTTATATTTTTCATCATGTAAAATATTCGTGGCATAGAAAACGAGACTCAACAACTCTTGATATATAAAAATATATTACATATTGATATTAATGCATTCTTACACTAATAGTATACAAATAATATGCAATAGTGAGTTCAATGAATTTGTATTCTGAGATGAACTATTAAACAAAATTGTGTAATTATGCAATAAATTTCATACCTTCAATTGTATGACAGGTACGAATTGTGATCTCAATAATTTAGCTATAAATTAATTTTATGTATATAAAATTTCTCATTTATATTTAAATTTTTCAACCAAGTATGAATTCATTCATTACTTAATTGTATTTTAGATACAAATCAATTTATCTATAGAAATTTTCATACTTTGTGTACATATTATATATCAATTTAAGAGACACGCATCATTATAATATTAATAATTGATGAAAAATTATGTTTCACGTGTAATGCACGTGCCCAATCACTGTGTCCAATCACTAGTGAAAAGAAACCAAAGAAAAAGTGACAAAATCTTTATCATTTTTTATTTGGTTAGCAAATGAGAAGAAAATGAATAAATAATTGAGAAAGAATAAATACGTGAAAAGAATAAACTGCATGATAAACTTTTTGTTGTCATTTCCTAATTCAAAATTCTGAATTGTGTTGTTAACAATTTTTTTTTATGAATGTGGTTAACAAGTGTCCTTAGGATACAAGTAAAAAATAAAAAAATTAATTGAAAAATATAAGATACTTTTTGTTAAATTTAAGGTATTGTTATTGAAATCAATATACTTTTTAACATTTTTACTTATTTTGAAGAAATTTTTTCATACAATTTTTACCATTAAATAATGTATGGGAAGCACTTATTAACATTGTCTTTTTTTTTATTACTCAGGATGGTGATTAAGTTTCGTCCCGAATTTTATTATCTCAGGAGTATTAAGTAATTATGATTAAAAAAAATTATGTAAGAGTTGAAAGAGAACATTACAAATGTTATCATTGTGTATCTATCAACTTCTATTTTAATCCTTTTTAGAGGGCTTAAGGCGAAAGCATCCAAGCAAGGCCTTTAACAAATATTTTAACTAATTAATTATTTTCACAATTTAGGGTGCAAAATTAGTAATTAAAATTTTATATTTAAGTTTTGCAAACTGTTAGCTTTTTTGGCTTTCGAAAGTTAATAACGTAATTTTAAGCGTGCCAGTAAGGATCAATAAATCCTTACATAAATTTTAATTGCCAACCAATTATCAGACGATTGTGTTGAAATTCTTTCAGACTCAATAAAGAAGACTTTTACTAGTGGTTTTGCTTAGGAGAGAAAATTAAAGATATTGAAAATAACAATAGATAAAAACAGTTTTATGAACTGAATTTCATTAAACAATAAGAACTTACAATGATACATTCGCACTCCCACAGTCTCGAAGAGTTTTATAGCAACATACTACTTGGAATTACTCCTAAGAATTGGAGTGCAGTATAGGAATTAAAGAATAGGAAATGTAAAAATTGGAAAGAAAAATAGAAAGTAAATAACTGGTTTCTAAATCTGAGTCTGGATCTGTTTCTATTGGCCTTCTCTTCTATTTATACCCTCTAATGGTAACCATCGAAGTGGTCTTCTAACCGTTGAAATGCCCTTCCACGATCACTGGTCATGGCCTTGAACAGTTTGCGTCCATTCTTGCAGTTAGACTCCCTCTTGAATTTAAATTTGAATTGTGAGTAATCGTTGGGCCACGTCACCTTGCGTCTTCTAACTGCTCCAATGCTGCGCAGATCCATTATTATCAATGTAAGCTGCCACGTGTCTGTCGCTAACTAGAGACTTGCATGGATTCCCCAGATTACCCTTTACGAGCCACGTGTTAAGCTGCGATTGGCTTGTACAAAATATGTAACCAATAATACCCTTCACACTAATATAGCCAATACATAGTAATATTAGTGGATCAGTGTACTTCGTCCACGTCCTAGGACGTGCATGGGCTTTTTATTTATCTTGGAAGTGTAACAGTCTTCAAGCAACGAAACACTGAACTTCATTAAATTCTCCCTTGTGTTTGAACACAACCTCCACTATCTGTGTATACGAAGGGACTGATACATCTTCAATGGCTAATCAAGCTCTCTTCTGCATTGATCAAACATACGAGGAGGTTTTGGACAATGATAATCAAT